TTGATGCTATTGATGATCCATCTTATGATTTATCTTAACATTTTAATGAATGTTATGAATTTATGTCAATATGGTTAAAAAGAGGACCTATTTTAGTTCATTGTGCTGCTGGAGTATCTCGTTCTGCAGCTATAGTAATTTATTTTATAATGAGATCATTTAAATGGAGCTATGTAAAATCCTTTCAACATGTTAAGGCAAAAAGATCTGTTATCTGTCCAAATGAAGGATTTATAAAATAACTTAAATAACATGAAAAGTTGTTGGGTTTAGTTATATTTAGAGAAAGCACTTTAGAAGAAGAATAAAAACGATAGACTTAATCAAAACCTACTAAAGGAATTATTAGAGGAAGATCTGTTGTCATAAGAACTCAAAAATAACCAATCACTCGTTTTAGATGATTTTATTTGTTTTTACTCATATCATTTAAATTTTATATCATTATAGAAAATTAAAATTAAAAAAATAACTACATAAAGTAAATAATCATATCATCTATAAATTAAGAATTATATTTATAAAATAAAAGTTTTTTTTCTAAATTTTCAACATGGAATTAAATATAGAGATTCAATACTAAAGTTTTATGATGAAATTATGTATCCTATTAAGAATTGTTAATCTAAGATTTTAGGAATTTAAATAATAATTTTCATCTATTGATTTCAATATTTGATATTTTATATTTAAATTCTATAGATAATTAATTTGTAATAAAAAAAATGGTAGGATTTTGAGAGTTTAATCTTAATCAAATATAATTAGATAATAATGAGAATGTCGAAAAAGTATATATTAGTTTTTTCTAGATTTACAGTAAGCAGTATTATTTTAATAATATAATTTAAATTAAAAATGATTAACGAGAATAGGAGGTAAGAAATAATGTAAAGATTGAAATAAGAGAGAGAGCAAAGAAAGAAAATGATATAGGATGGGGATTTAGAAACAGTTTATGTAGATAGATCTTTAGTAGAAACACCAAGCATTGGTAAAGAAGAATATTCAGAGACTTAATCATAAATTACAGATGAGAGCAAAATTAGTTAATTTAGTAGACAAACACCAGATATTTTGAAAATCTAATAGGATAGGTTATAAGTGATGAAATAGAACTTATTGAAAAGTAAAGAGCCTAAAAAGCAGACATATTTTGATAAATTAGCTGAACCTAAAACTATTGTATAAGAAGAGAGAGAGCATTTAAAATAAGAATAAGAAAAAAAGATGGTAATAATATGAATAATTTTAGTTGTCTGAGTTATCTTTTAGACCTGAGTTAAGTGAGTAAACAAATTTGCTTGCCTAAATAAAGTATTCTAAATTTGAAGGAATTCCAATTTATGAAAGACTTTAAATGTTGGAATAAGAAAGACAAGCACATATTGAAGAATTAAAATTAATGATTAATTAATAGGAAGAAGAAGAACCTTTAAATAAAGCTCCAAGACCATATTGTGATTAAGCTCCTTTATATGAAAGATATTAATAAGTTATGTAAGATAAAAAGGCTTTGTTGGATTATTTGAAGGCAAAATAATTAAGAGAGGAGGAAGATTTATTTAAACCGAGGATTAATTTATAATCATAAATTTTAGCAGAAAAAAATAAAAAAGATGGTTTGAATGTAGTTGATAGATTAATTCAAGATGGAATAAGAAAATAAAATATTGTTTATGAAGATGATCTCCCTTATGATTTTCAACCATAAACTAATTAATAAATTAATGATTAGATAGTCAAAGGAGATTTTAATTAGAGACAAGATGAATTTATGAAGAAGTAACTTGAAAAGAATATGGATTTAGAAAGCAAAGCTTATAAAGATTACACTTTTAGACCTTAATTAAATAAATAAAGTGAATAGATAGCAAATCGAAAGATTTCTTAAGATTCATTGTTTGATAGACTTTATAGTGAATATCGAACAAGACAATCTTATATTGAAGAAAGAAAGTAAGAAGAAATTAGTAGATTAAATTTTAATCCAGATTTAAATCCAAAGTCTATGGAAATGGCTGTTGATAGAACTCTATCAGATTTGATAAAAAATGAATATGGGCAATATAGAAAATAATTATTAAAAGAGGTTAATTTATAGAATTATTATTATATAGAAATATGATGATTCTGATAAAGAATGCTCATTTTATCCAAGTGTTTCAACTTCTATGAAATATTCATAAATGCATTCCTAATATAGTTTTGATGATTGCCATGAAAAAATAAAGTAATATTAAACAGATAGAGAACAAAGAAGATCTCAATTGAAAAAGTAATTATTTTACTAAAAATAAGGCAGTAAGAGGAAGAATAATTAAATTAGTGTACATTTAAACCATAAATAAATAAAAAAGCAATAGATACAAAAAAATAAGTTGAAGTTTATGGTTTGGAATCTTTTATGGTTAAAGTTGACATGAAGAATAAGAAAAAAGATGAATAATAATTAGTTGAACAAAAACTTTTTAAAAAGCATGAATAATATGATTACAATAAGCATCAAGAAAAAACAAATTGTCAACCATTTAAACTATCTAATAATTAAGCTAGTAAAAACTCATATAAAAAATGAATAACTTATTTTTATAGATATGTTATAATATCAAACACTCAAGCAAGTCAGAAATTCCATGTTTTCTATATAAATTATATTAAGTTTGCCAGCACCAAAAAAAGTTAAAACTGATTAAAGAGATAGCAAAAATGGCTCAAATGTTATTTTGCTAGAACCCACTATAATTGTTGTCAATTCCTCTAATTATGCATTTAATGCTGCCAACTAACCAAGATTTATAGCAAACATAAACCATAAACTTTTTACAACATCAAGAACATTTACAGATGTAGGCTCTTTGGTTTACAATTTACCCATAGATGCAGCTATAATATCTTTTGATAAACCCAAAGATGAGTAACTCTTACCATATATATCTTCTACTGTCATATCAGCATTTAGGTTATTTCCATCCTTGAATGCCAGCATTAGTTATTCATTTATATCTCCATCTAACCCAATCAATTAAAATATTTTCTCAATTGTTGTATCAGTTATTAGAGAACCATTTAATTTCACAAATTAGTTTACTGCTTGTACTCTGTAAAAAGACACGCTTTTATTTACATTTAAATAAAGATATGGATAACTTGGACTTGCGCAAATTACTTTCTCTATTTCATAACCTTATTTTAATATATGAATTTCTCGTAAATTTACTAAGTTTGTAAATTTATAAAATGCTCCTTCTTTGTTGTTTATTAAATACTCAATTGCCTTTATTGAATTATGAACACTCCTTTATTTTATCAATTTTAAATCCAATTATTTTTCAAATATATCTGAATAATACGTAAACTCCTCTTAATCTTATAATCCATATCCACATACCGAAACTTCATTATTTAAAGGGTTTTCTTTATCTAAATAATTTTTTACTTCTTTTAGTTCATTCACAATGAACTAATACATGATTAAAACTAATAATTTACATCTTTAAACTTATTATGCTAAATTTTAAACTGATAATTTCTATACTCATTTGTTACTTCATAATATGGATAGGTTAAATCTTTCATTTTTGTGAGTATGCCCAATTTTATAAATTAGTAATCAACTTAAATTGACAATTTACTCATAATATATTATTAATACTATATATTATATAAATGAATAAAACTTCATAAAACAAAGTATTCAATAAAATAGATAGTAGGTAATAATTTTAATAAAAAGTATAAAAAATTCACAATTTTATTAACAAAACAAAAAAAGTAAAATTGATATAAACACTATTTAATTTAATTTTTTTCTTGTTTATTATGATTAAGCAAAAGATAATCTTTATTTTAGTTTTTTTAATTCATATTAAGAATCTCATTTAAACATACTAATCCCATTTTTCTATAAATTTTTGCTGTTTACAAATTAACATTGTTATTATACTTTAAAAAATGAATTAATGTACCAGCTAATATATTTTAAAGATTAAAGTTGAAAAATTGACATAAGTTTATCCTTTAATTAATTTTTGGATTATATTGAATTAATTCACTTTTCTTTAGATATATCTTAATTTTTATTAAAGTTTGATTTGTTTTAATAATATAATAGCTAAGTCTTTTTGTTTGTCAGATTTTAGATTTTTCATAGCCGCATAATAAAATCAAAAATTATCTATTTTAGTCATTTGAGATTTAATCAAGTGTTTCATTTTATTTTTTCATAAGTAAATTTTTAAATTTAATCATCATGAAAATTATGGAAATTAAAAACTATATAAGGCTTTTCTTTTTTTACTTCATTCTTATGTTAAATCTTATTAGGGTCATTTTAAATTTCGTATATTTGATAATAACTATTTTTGATTGAATTTTATTGATTATTTTTAGAAATCTAGTAATTTTAGAAATAAAAAAGAAGAAAAATGTGTAATAATTCATTTTCTGTCCTAATAAATTTAATGACTAATAAATAAGTTATTAAATTTTTTATTGAAATAAAATTCATAACTTATTCTGAATATTAATTGATCAAAAGCAAAGTTCTATAAGTAGTGAGAATAGTTTGTATAGATTTTATGTAAAATATAAATATAATTTTATATTGATTTTCTCAACTTACTTTAAAATGTTTTAGATCACTCATTTATATTATTAATAATGGGTTAAACATGTAATGGATGTTAATGTTAACATCATTCTATAGAATCTATTTAGGAGATAAATGTTAAAAAGAAACCTAAGAAAAAGGTTGAAAAGCAAGAGAAGTCAGAGAAAACTGAGAAATCAGATCATCAATAAGAATAAAAATAAGTAGAGAAAACTGACCATAGTCTTAAGAAATAAAAAAAACTTTCATAAGGAGATGCTGCAATAAAAATATAAAGAAACTGGAAGAAGCATAAGAACTAGAAAGAAAAAAAGTAAGAAAAAGCTGGTGTTAACATGAAATAGTAGTATTTTAAGGAAGAAATAGCAAATGCACAACCTCCTCCAGATCCAAATAGAGTAAAAAATCCACCATACAAGTATACAAAAATAGAAAATAGGTTTTAATCAGGGGCGATTTATGAGGGAGAATGGAAAGATAAAAAAAGAGATGGTTTTGGAATATAAAAATGGCCAGATGGTGCTAAATATGAAGGTTAATGGGTTGATAATAAAGCATGTGGACATGGTAAATTTTATCATGCTGATGGAGATATTTTTGAAGGGGAATGGAAGGATGATAAAGCTAATGGTTGGGGTGTATATAAACATTTAAATGGAGCTATGTATGAAGGTGAATGGAGAGATGATTTACAACATGGTAAAGGTGTAGAAACTTGTAAAATTAAAGTTATTTATGTTAGGGTAGGATAAATCAAAATATTCTGGAGATTATGTTGATGGTAAAAAGCATGGCAAAGGTAGATATGATTGGGCAGATGGATCTCATTATGATGGAGAATGGAAAGACAATAAGATAAATGGATTTGGAACTTATAAATGGGCAGACGGAAGGGGATACACAGGAGAATGGTTAGATAATAATATGAATGGTAAAGGGGTCTATAAATGGCAAGATGGTAGGAAGTATGAAGGTGCTTATCTTAATGATAAGAAACATGGATTCGGTATATATTACTGGGCTGATGGTAGAAGATATGAAGGAGGATGGAAAAATGGTAAATAACATGGAAATGCTAAATATTACCTTAATGATGGTACTATTAAAGATGGAATTTGGGAAGATGGAAAAAGAATTAAATGGCTAGATGATGCTTGAATTTATATTTCATTCTGTTTTTTACTTCATAATATAAATTTAGCTATTTCAAATCAAACATCCTTAATACTGTAATAATTTTTTGATTTACAAATAAATTTATGAATTTATGAATTTAATGTCCTCACTAGATTTTATAATTTTTTAAGTTATTTTCTATTATTTCACTTATGCAAATAAATATCTATCGTTATTAACTTTAATTATATTATATGCCTCACTTGTTCAATTATATTTATTATTCAATAATATCTTCTATTTTTTTATAAGCTTAAATTTAAAATTTATAATTTGTCCTATATATTTAATAAAATTAATTCTATAGATACATTTTAAATCATCCTATTCATTTCTGAGTTTTGTCTATATCCTATATTATTTGATTAAACTTTTTAATATAAAATATTTTTGTTTAAAATTTTATTATATATTCTTAAACTTTTGATATATATTTTAATTTATACTCAAAGTTTAAACTATTATGTAACTCTTAACTTTCAGTAAAAGTGATTGAAATTTATGACATATATAAAAATAATGAACAATAAAAATAATTTGAAATGAATGTTAAATGAAGATATATAATTTTTCATTTTCGTAATTAATTAATAAAAGCATAATAATTCATTCTTAGTGATTTGGATTATAATATATAAATGAAAAAAAAGTGTAAGAACATATGGAAGAGTAAAATAACAGTCGAAAAAGAATTTAGATAATTGTAATTAGTAGTAGGCAAAATAATTGGTTATTTTATATTTGGAGAGTGTATTGTAATATTATTTGAAAGCATATATTTGGCTATACTAAAATTTTATGAAGTATAATTTATTATAAATTAGTATATTGGATTAGGAAGTATAGTTTTTTTATTGATTGCATAGTTATTAAGATATTTGAAGCATTTTCGAAGTACTAAAATTGAAATATAAGGACTATTGATTATTGAATAGGATTGTACTAGTTGCAAACAATTCATAATTTGTTAGTTTTGCCATCATTGTTAGACAAGTGCTAATCATTACAATGTTCTGTAAATGTGTTTAGATTCAGAATAAATTAAGTAAGTGGAAAAAATATTATTGGAAGGTTAGTGAAAAGAGGAATTTTACTATTACTGTTAAAGATTATAAGTTCGATTATAGTGGAATCTTATACAATTTAGAGAATTGAAAAAACAATGAAATTCTATTCAATTTATTAAGGTATAATTATAGCAGTTTTATTTGTGAATTCGATTCTCTTTTTATTTTGGATATATTTTGGATGGAGAGTTTTAGTAGAAATAAGAGAGAAATGTATAGTTAAAACTTCTCCAGAAGAATTGAAAGTTATGGAATAATTTTCTGCAATCCAATAATTAGAAAAATCAAGATTAAATAAGGAATAAGAAAATCCAAAACCAGATTAGGCAGAATTAGAAGATAAGGGTTCGGTTAATCTCTCTATAAATGATAATATAAGTCCAGCATTGTTAAAATTAGTATTTGAATAAGTAAATCAAGAAATCCAGTCTAAGTCCCAGTCCAATGAAATATAGGTCTGGGAAAATACTTGACTTTTTAGAAAAGAAAATTAGTCATGCAAAACATAGTTAAAAAGAATTAAATAATGGATTGAGTCGAGAATTGAATAGAAAATGCAATACTGATTAAAGTAATCTAGATTTAAATATAAAAAGTGTAATAATAAATAAGTCTTGACTTCGGAGATCAAGAAGATTATTTTTCAGCTAGAAATCCTATAGATGNATAAAAATAATGAACAATAAAAATAATTTGAAATGAATGTTAAATGAAGATATATAATTTTTCATTTTCGTAATTAATTAATAAAAGCATAATAATTCATTCTTAGTGATTTGGATTATAATATATAAATGAAAAAAAAGTGTAAGAACATATGGAAGAGTAAAATAACAGTCGAAAAAGAATTTAGATAATTGTAATTAGTAGTAGGCAAAATAATTGGTTATTTTATATTTGGAGAGTGTATTGTAATATTATTTGAAAGCATATATTTGGCTATACTAAAATTTTATGAAGTATAATTTATTATAAATTAGTATATTGGATTAGGAAGTATAGTTTTTTTATTGATTGCATAGTTATTAAGATATTTGAAGCATTTTCGAAGTACTAAAATTGAAATATAAGGACTATTGATTATTGAATAGGATTGTACTAGTTGCAAACAATTCATAATTTGTTAGTTTTGCCATCATTGTTAGACAAGTGCTAATCATTACAATGTTCTGTAAATGTGTTTAGATTCAGAATAAATTAAGTAAGTGGAAAAAATATTATTGGAAGGTTAGTGAAAAGAGGAATTTTACTATTACTGTTAAAGATTATAAGTTCGATTATAGTGGAATCTTATACAATTTAGAGAATTGAAAAAACAATGAAATTCTATTCAATTTATTAAGGTATAATTATAGCAGTTTTATTTGTGAATTCGATTCTCTTTTTATTTTGGATATATTTTGGATGGAGAGTTTTAGTAGAAATAAGAGAGAAATGTATAGTTAAAACTTCTCCAGAAGAATTGAAAGTTATGGAATAATTTTCTGCAATCCAATAATTAGAAAAATCAAGATTAAATAAGGAATAAGAAAATCCAAAACCAGATTAGGCAGAATTAGAAGATAAGGGTTCGGTTAATCTCTCTATAAATGATAATATAAGTCCAGCATTGTTAAAATTAGTATTTGAATAAGTAAATCAAGAAATCCAGTCTAAGTCCCAGTCCAATGAAATATAGGTCTGGGAAAATACTTGACTTTTTAGAAAAGAAAATTAGTCATGCAAAACATAGTTAAAAAGAATTAAATAATGGATTGAGTCGAGAATTGAATAGAAAATGCAATACTGATTAAAGTAATCTAGATTTAAATATAAAAAGTGTAATAATAAATAAGTCTTGACTTCGGAGATCAAGAAGATTATTTTTCAGCTAGAAATCCTATAGATGTAGAATTAAAAAATCATAACTTTTCAAAACAGATTAAGTTCTTATCTTGATAAACTTATCTTTCATTCTAACTATTGTATTTATGTTACAGAGTTATAATTTATAATGTATACAATTTTAATTATGTAACAATATAAAGTTATTAACGAATAGCCAATTCCAGAACATGTAAAAATTGCATATCTCATATTTCCTAGCTATTTTTTTGGAAATATTCAGATTATAAAGCAAGATCTCTAACTCCTACCAGATCTAAGTCTCCTTTAAGAAAGTAAAAATCACAAGTAAAATCAACATTGCAAAGATTAGAAGAAGAAGAATGGGCTGAATGTACATTTAAACCATTCATCTTCTCGAAAAGATGTTTTTAATATAATGAAGGGGATTTCTTACAGAGATGTCAATAGTATGAAGAATAGAAGTAAGTAAAATTGCAAAAGTTGCGTATGTCTGATGTGGAAAATGAATTGAAAGAGTGTACTTTTCAACCCAAAATAAGTTAATATGTCAAAAATGCTAATACCATTAATTTGAATGAAACTAATAAGAAATAAGTTTTTGACAATCTTTAAGGATAACCAAAATAAACTTATGCAAAATAAATGTACAAGTATTCAGATGCTTTAAATTTATTGCATAAAGAATTACATGGATGATTATAAAAACTATAAATTATAATATAGTTAAATTATGACAGAAATTATTGATAAATTTAAAGTACCATTTTTAACAGCTCTAGCTAATTACAAATTGAGACAACAAAATGATATATGGACAAATTTCAGAAAACTCTTACAATTGTTCGAAGGATGTGAACCTTGGATTATCAATGTCAACGTATTTCTCAAATATACAATATTGTTAGAAATGGAATCAATATAAAATATGGGCTTTATTAGAAAAACCTTAGAAACTAATTAAATTGGTACAAAATTATAGGGTTAACATCTAAAAAATGCATCCCAAAAATATAGAAATCGCTTTCGAAAATCTTAAATCAGGGGATAATTAATATTCATAATATTTGGCTGCTCTTATCCAATTCATTATTTAATAATACGAAATATAAATTAATGAAGAATAAATAGCTAATTATCTTGACGATTCTGATGATATAGAATCAAGAATGAAGACCTAAGAAAGTGGACTTGATTTTTAAGAATAGCCTTCCATGGATCTCTCTTGTAGCAATAGTAAACCTAATTCTGACATGAGAAAAAGTAGTTGTACTCAAAGATCTAATACTACCGAATCTCATAATAATTGGAATTAAAACAAAAATACAATTGAAACTCTATAAAAACATAAAATGCATTTATAATAATAAATTGAATAGTAAAGAGAAATCCTTAGAGAACTATAATATGAGCATAATAAGACCGCTTAATAGATATCCAGACTTAGTTCAAATTCGAAGATTGATAAAATTATTAATAATTTGAATAGATCGAGAAGATTTATCTCATGATATATAATTGCAAATTTAGATGATATAAATATTTTTTAGTTTTCAATCCATTATAAATTCTATTTAATTAAGTTAGTTATGATTTAATTAAAAATTAATAGAATTGATTAAACTCACTTCAAAAACATATATTTTAAGTAAGCTGAAATTATAAATTAAAGTAAGCATCACCAAAAAAACCATTGTCAGTCTATTTCTCTTTAAGTAGATGAGAGACAATAAATAATGAAAAATAATGCCTCTTCCAGGAATTGGAATGAAATTAACATTTGGTAAAAAACAAATTTTTTTAAATAGAAGTAATTAGTGTATTACAACATATTTAATTGTATTTTTTAAGATTAAATTCTTTTTTTTAATAAAAAAATTTAGAGTAATATTAAAAATTAGATAATGTAAAATTATTTATTTCTTTTTAAATTATTAATATACATATCAGTTTAATGATATTTCTGATCTTTTTGTAGAAGATCTTTTGAATAAAATCTAATTGAAACTAGCTTTAACATTTTAAATATTTAATTGGATTTGCTTTTTTCTATCATCAACTTAATTTCCGAATATTCTTCTACCTTATCTTGGTTCTATTTTAGAAAAAGGTATAGATTATTAATTTCATACTTATTGTTCTTTTGGTAATTATATTTGCCTTTAATACATTTACTTGAGATTATTAAATTGATTAGCTAATTTTTATTTATTTGAAATTTTTTATTTGATAGCTTTTTTTTAGTTAACCCATTTTTTTCACATTTTTCACTCATTATAATTATTCTCTAAAGAAAAAAACGTTCCAATGTAGTATTTTTAAAGGGACTTTTATTTAGAAAAGTTCATTAACTTTTTAGTTTAATATTTGAATTTGAGTATTAACATTTTTAAGCTATTTTTTGAGGTTATAATTCTTTTATAAGGTTTAGATTCATAAAAACATATTTAAATATGATTAGGGAAGATTATTAGCTTATTAATTAATAAATAGAATATTTTTTATAAGAAAGAATAAAGATAATCAAAATATATTTTGACAGCTAATATTTATTAAATGAAAAAAGAATTGTTTATGTTATTTAAAATTATAAATTGTTTATCATGAAAGAAACTTAATACAAGGATTGGTAAAAAAATTTGAAAAGAGTGTTAATGGATAATCTTATTTAGTGAGAGATATAAAAGATGGGTAGAAATGTCATTTTATAACTTTAGTTCATAGTGGGTTTAAAAATACATGGACACTATGAAGAAATAAGAGAAAAAAGAATTTTATAATGCATTTAATGTCTTCTAACACAATATCTTAAAGATAAGAGAAGTATATATGACTAATGGGGGTAAAGGTTTCCATCATCATGAATATGCTGAGAGTAAATAAAATTTCCATAATGTTCCTTAGAAGGTACTTTGAGGGAATTCATTTATTCATAAAAGGGAAAGTAATTACCTGAAAATTAAATTTTGGATTGGAATACACAAATATTTTTAGCTGTTAAACACTTTCATGATCAAAATTTTTTAGCAAGTCATAATCTTTTTATTACAAAAAATAATTGTATCAAATTAGGTGATTTTTCTACTGGCAAAGTGCTATCACATAGATAAGATAAAATAAAAACCTAAATTTAACACCTTACTATCTATCTCCAGAAATAATATAAAAAATTCCTTGTTCCATCTCAGTATTTTAAACTATTTAATTAGGCTGATATATGGTGTTTAGGAATTAACTTATATGAGTTGTGCATGTTAGAACACACTTTTTAAGCTAAAGAATTAGATGTTCAAAAGAGTTTGAGAATATTAAAGTAACAATTTATACTCAAACTAATTCGTTGATATTAATTTGCATAAATATGTCAGTATATAGAAATAAAATTAAGATATTAAGAATAGATAATAACAAAACTGAACCAGAATTTCTAAATGGTTAGATTAAACTACCTAATATTACTACTTAACAATAAAGTAGATCTAAATTATCTACTCCTATTAGAATTGATCATAACACTCCAAAAATTATTAAAAATATTATCAAACTTTCTTTAAAGTAGAATTAAATGATGAAAAAAAAAATAACTCAATTTCAAAAAGTAAAAATTCCAGTAGGTCTAATCAAGATCAATCATAAAATCATATTACTTTAACTCCAAGGGTTTAAAAATTTGAAGAAAGTTAACGAAAGTATAAGCTAATTAATAACTCTAGATTACTCTCATTATAATTATAAGAATTACATAATAAACATTCCTAATTGTAATTAAACTAATAAAAACTGTAGAAGTAAACTGAAAGCATTGAAATTTTAAATGAATAGTAAGTTACTGAATAAGTATAAGTTTAAATGAATAATGAAATTAAAAATAATTAATTAGACAATTTGGATTTTAATAAAACTGCTAAATTGGTAGAAGCAGAAATATTTACTTTTAATTTTTAGTTAAATGAATTTGATGAGCAATTTCAATAAAAAAAGATAAAAATAATAGAAATTGAAGTTAAAACAGAAATATATAGTGAAGAAGAGGAAATTTATCACTTTTCAGAATCAATTAATCCTGATAGCGAATCTAGTCGGTTATCCTTCATTGGTAAACGTAATAGAGCCCTTTAATTAAAAATATTATTGGAATAAAAATTAGGAGAAGATAAAATTCAATAGAGTATTAAAATATTATATAAGTAATTTTATTATTAAATAGAGTGAATTTACTTCTAAAAGATTAATAGATTTAGAAAAATATGACTAGAATTTTTACTAGACATTGTTACCATTCTTATCTTTAAAAGAATGTGAGAATTTTGTACCACTACTTTTTTAACTAATAATATTATCAAAATGATCAATTTAATTTTTGAAACTAAATTAGAATTTAATAATTAAAATTGAAATATAATTAACTCGTCTTTTCTTTATAATTATTTAAACTTTAATATGGAGAAATTCAGAGAAAATAAAGGAGAAAGTAAAATGAAAATATAAAACGTTAAAAAATTATAAATAAATATTAAAATCACAAATCAAATTCACCAAAAACAATTCCCTAAATAATTTGATCATCATGAAATTCCCATGTCTAATAGTAGGGGAATCTATAAATGTTCTCTGATTCGATCAATTTATCTAAAAGAGTATTGTAGTAGTAGTTATTATTATAATTAGTTTAATTTTCTTATTGTTGTTCTTCTAAATTTTCAATGATCTCTTCTTTTTATTGATTTTGACTATCACTCTAATCAGATTAACTATCATCTTATTCAGAGATGATAGTAGTACCCTTTTAGGTTCTTCTTCCATGTTTATTTTCGAGAACTGTGTTTCTTCTTTTGTTGAGAGATCCAAGATTGCTGGTTTATCTTTTTATTTGAGGTTTTTCAGATATTTAAGTTTCCTCCTGTTTTTCAATTTCAGGTAATTAATCACTTTAAGTACTGCGGACAGATTTTAAAGGAATATCTTCAATAGGAACTTTAGATCTTGAACTTAATTATTATTACTATGAGGATTAAGGATGTAAATCTAATAAAGATAAATCTTAAACAGAAGGCTATAAGATAATTGATTTTTAAGATTTCTGAGGACTTCTTTTATTTTTGATCCGTCTTTTTTTAGGACTTTATGGACTATCATGATTAGTTTATTCTTTATCTAGATCACTAAGTGGTTGATCTTCATTTAATTATATTGATGTAAGAGGAGTAAATACACTTTCTTCATGTGATTCCTAATTAGAGATAATAGGGGTTTATTGAGGTTATGGAGGTAGGACATATTCAATTTAAGATAACTTAAGAGTTTCTTATATTTTATCAGAAGATTCTGGAATTGATGGTTCTTTAGGAACTTCGTCAAAATTAATAAGAGATTCTTTTCTAGTTATTATGGGTCTTTTTGGTTTAAGAAGTGTTTTAATAATTTCCATATGGTTGAACAGTTACATGACTTAATTGTCAAGCTTTTTATTTTATACATAGTAATCATTGAAATCTTGATATAAACAATCGTATTCATCCTTAAGGCGAACCATGGTTACTTAGAAAGTATCCTATTGATGAGGTTCTTAATAAAATTGTTGAGTAGATAAAAGCAATTTGACTTTGCTCATTAATTATGTGATTTTATCCTTTAATTATTAATCACTGCGATCCTTAGTTAGACGATCTAATCGAATCATAGCAGTGGGTTCTTTAAAAGAATAAATTCTTGGATCTCGAGACAATCCTCCATCTTCTTTTGGAGGTTAGTACATCAATTATTTGAGTTTGCTTCTATATCTACGAACAGTATTAACAACTGAAGCACTTTAGTTGAGAGGTTGAGTCAAAGTAATTAAATCATTTCCATAACGAAATTCTGCCGTTTTAAGTTTCTCTTGGCTATTGTAAATAGCAATCGTCATTCCTCTTACTCTCTTTTTAATAGGAGATGGATCGTAATATCTTTGAGGACTACTCTAATATTTGATCATGGAAGAACTTGATTAATTATTATCACCATAGCTCAGACTAAATTAAGGGTCTTTAGGCTATAATTTAAGGGTAGGCAATCTAAATGATGTAGCTTAAACTCTCATTGTTATTAAATAATAATAATTTAATTAATTTGAAGAAACAATTACATGTAATAAAAGAAAAGAGTTTCACATTTAGTTCAATAATCTAAAATCACGATTAATTGATTTAAACATGGTGCTCAAAAGGAAAGAATACCAATTGAGTAAGATAGTTTCATTTTGTTTCAAATGTATTTAATTGACCAATCATGGGAATTATTAAAGCAAACTTATTAAGTATAAGAAATCAAATCGAACTTAAAGAAATTTTATGAATAATTGTAAATAAGATGTGTTTAAGGTAATGAAGGTAGTCATTAAATTCTATTATTCCAAAAATAGAGTAGTGTTATCTAGTTGAATTGGAGATGTTATTGCATCCTAATTTTTTAAAAAGAGTAATCATTAAAAAAGGATAATAAATCAATCTTTAATGAATTATAATAACAAATTTAAGTAACCCTTTTAATAAGGATATAAGAAATAAGTGAATGAGAGAATGATTCCTGTTTCTACAAATGAAAAATTAAATTATGTTTCTCAAAAATAGGAAATAGTTTAAAAATAAATTTAAGCATTCCTGATAATAATCAATTACAAGACACTATTTTAGATTCAGGAATATTAGTTGAATCATGATAAAATTAAAGATTTTTTAGGATTGAATTTCCTCTTTAAAATCTTGAAAGCTTATTCCATAATCATAAATTCTCTCATTATAATAGGATGTATTCTATAATTAAACAGAATTATATTTGTAATTTATTCTTAAATAATATTGGAGATCATCATGGCTAACACTTAAATGGTAGACTCTATCAATTTTCGAAAATTCAAGGATGAGACAGATTAACAAAGAATGAAGTCACCCTAAAAATAAAATATAGATTTTTTTAAGTATACTTGTATTATATGAAATCCGAAATAGCAAGAATTTATTGAAAAAATATAACTAATAATTTTTCTGTGATTATGGATAATATTTTGTTTATATCTATTTTTAAAAGGCTCTCTCTTATACAGATAATGGAATTTTTAAATTCTATTTAAAGAGAATTTAGCCTATCAGAATTGGAAGAAAGTATTAAGAATATGCGAAATTCAAGCAAATAATTATCATACAAAAATATATTCAAAATATGTATAAACCATTAATAATTTGATAAAAGTCTTATTTATTTGAGAAAATGTAAAAATTGTCATGCCTTATAACAATATCAATGAAATCTTTTAATTATGAAAAAATCTCTTTGTTTTATCACAATTTAACAAATCAAAATATTATTATGAAAAATATGGCAAGTTGAATATGAAGAACGAGGTAAAGGAATGAAAAATTTAGAAGAAGCTTTATATTTACAATATGTAGAAATAAAGGAGGAATTATGAATAAGAATTCTTATTTTTGAAATTAAGGAATAATTATTAGTGATGCTATCTAGTTTGAAACATTCATTGAGAAAGTATTAGATTTAAAAAGATTATCAGAGTGTATTTAAATATGATTTTAAATATTTTTAATCTAAACAATCTCTTTTTAAAAATTCGACTGATTCTAAATGAATATAAATTAATATATGAATTAACCAATATCGCTAAATTGTCAAAATCCTAAAAAAGGATACTTGATATAAAGAGGAGTAAACAGAAATACTGAGAATGGAAAGGAGAGATAGTCATTCGCTGAGTATGTAAACTCATTATCAGAATCATAATAACAATTACTTAGTCATAACAAGTCTCCTAGAAAAGAATCAATACCTAAACGACATCCAACTCTGCCAAAATTAGATTTGCCATCTCCTGATATAATGGGTAAAAGATTTGTTGTAAATGTTGGAAAATGTCCTATGAATAATATCTAATCTCTTATTTGTAGACATAGTGTGGTACAATAAAATTAAAATTAATTTCATAACATATAATCTGTTAGACATAATTCATTTGAAACTAGAAAATCAATAATTCCTTAATCTAAATTGTTCCCTATTCACCGAACTTCTGTTAATAACATTAGTGGTAGAAGTGCTAGAGATGATGATATGAGTTTATTCTATAATAAAATAGGAGGAGCAGAAATTGTTGATTAATTGAATGAAGAATTTCATAGTTATTCAAAATAACATGAAATGATCTAAAGTATGTAATCAAAACATATTTTTTATAGAAATTGATGATTTAGAAAGATACAAATAAAGATTTAAGACTTTCTTGGAATATATATTTGGGAAACCAATTTTTTATAATTTAGAATAATTAAAAGAAAAACATAAAGATTTAGGACTCAAAAATAAAGACTTTAATTAATTCAAGAATTATTTAATTGTAATAATTATTTGATAAAATTTAGACATGTTTCTTAAAAGTCAATAAAGGTTAATTAGAATTTGTTTTTGAATTCAGTTCATTGATTGAACAATATAGATATTGTATAATTAACAGTAATACTCCATTTGCCATCATTTATAATTAAAGGACAGAGAAATTAAGTACAAAAGATGTTCCTGATGCAATTTTGTAATTAGCTTAGAATAGTTATCAAAAGATTTTTCAGGATAATTCTTTAGCACCATATTTCATTGGAATTGAAATCAAATAGTAAGCTAGAAAATTAGGAAAGATTTTATCTTAATTAATGTCGTGGGAATAAACAAATGACTAAGTATTGATCGAAATGAGAACATCCCATAAAGGTATGTATCTCACTAATGTTCATTTTACTTTATTTAAATAGCATTTAATTGAATCTATGCGTTAATTAAATATACAAGAAAAACAAATAGAATTAGTGACATCTAGAATGGATGGTTATAGAAGTTATATTATTAATCAAGATTCTTTGCTTGATTTTTATGGAGAATAATCTTCATTGTTATAAGTCTAATTAAAGAAATATGTTTAATTATTGTAAAAAGATGTCAGAATGTAAAACTATCCTTCTATTGCTTTGGAAAGGCACTCTTAATTTATATTGAAATATCTCACTCATTTACATCTACCAACCCTTACAAGTAATGATTTATGGACTATTCATGTCAAATATAAAATTTCTATCGAATGGATAGATTCTTTTCGTGATAACTTTTTTCATCTTATTAAAAGTCTCAATTTAAATGCATTAATCATTTCAGATTATGAAGATATCTGGTATAAATTAAAAAAGAATTTAACTTAATATCATTCCATTGAAAGTAGGATTGGTAAAAAGAAAGTTGATCTTGTTATTGCTAAAGTTTAAATGAAATTGTAAGAAAATGAAAATTATACAGAATACTTTAAGAATGCTAATTACTAAATGAATTTGCATCTTCATAGAATAATTGCATTTATTATGAAGGATCAAAAAATCTACAACTCCAATGATTTAAAGGTTATTCATTAATCATTGAAAATTAGAGAAAGCACATTTGATCTTTTTGTTTAATTTCTTAAAAATGCCATGTAAGAAGAAACTATCAGTTCTAGCTTAATTGCTAAGGCTGAAGAAATTTGTAATTATTATAAAAGGAGTATATGCACATGATGATCACTTAAACTTACACCTAAATGATTATTTTCGTTTTTTCGTCATTTAATAATAAAATTATCTGGAATATATTATATCTGATATCATAAACAAATTATTATTGTCAAATTATTGTTCATTTATTGGTTAATTCAGCAAAACCATTGTTTTCCATAAATCTTTTCAACCCAATCCGTGAAAGTTTCAGGATCTTTATATGTATTAAATTTAGAAGATTATTCTGTCACTTCATCTTCAATTTATACTGTCGACATCCTGTTAGTTCTGTGAATAATTACTCGATATCCATATTCATTTGCTTTTATCTTTCCTTATTATTAGGATATAGATTCTTAACTTACTGACTATAGACTTTTTTTACTACTTGAAATAAAAAGTTTTCTGTTTGAGATCATAATGTTAGGACTCTTTATTTTATTACAAGTTTAGTACTTAGAAATCGATTCTATACTATCTGTGGAATTTCTTCCCTTTAATTAGTTACTATGCTCTTTTAATGGATATCTTTATTAAGTTTTCCTTTTAATCAACAAATTATCTTCTTTTATTTGTTATTTGTTTAAAATGACTTTACTAATCTAAGAAGAAAAAATCATGTTTCTATTAGATTGTATTGATTTATTGATCATGAAAAAAAAAATTGAATAAAAATTATTAATTACGATTAACATTGTAAATCTTTTGATAAATGACATCATTTTTAATTATAATTTTTTTGAAAAATATTTTGTTTATATTCAAAAATCAAATACTTATTGTTAAGTGTTAATAATCATGGTTGGATCAAATAAAGATTGAGATCTACCAATCCAATCAAAACTATTAGTTGGTTCAAGGTGTTTAATAATTTATCTTGTAGTTGATCCACTTAAAATAACAATCAAATGAAAAAAACAAAAGACTCCAATAATAGCGCTGATGAAACAAACAATAATTAATAAAAAATCTGTAAATCCATTGGTTTCTTCGGGATTAATTTTGCTTAGACTAACTAAGATTGAAAGACCTTACATAAGTAAACTTGCTAAAAATAATGCAAAATATCTAAGTTGAATAGATTTCTTTACTTATAGTTTCGTTTACCTATACAATTGTTTACAAATGGACAGTGGTGATCAAACATTAAAATGCAATTATCACATTGTTTGCAATGAGACGAGCCTGGAGGTTTTTTAATTGAACAAGTTTCACACATAGGCCAAGCACTTTCAGTGTCCCATTATATATTCATAATTTCAAATATATTTTTTCTAGGAATGATACCAGGTTCTGTAAATTAGGTCAAAAATAGAAAGAATAAAGTCAAAAATGCTAAAAGCAAAGTGCATATAAAGAGTAATTAATTAGCTTCCCATATTTAGTGTCCATTTGAATAGGTAAAAAAGATAGGAAGCAATATTAAGCCACACCAAGTGAAAATATTTGGTCCAAAATCTGTTTAAGGTCCAATCATAATTCTACCAGATAAATAGAATCTATTTTTGCCTGGCCAGATTTCATAAAGTTTATGTTGATGTTCATCATCAAATTTAATATGTTATTAATTAATCATCTAATATATTATAATTGAGTATGTTTTATAAGTTGTTAAATAATAGTAATATAATAATTTATTTAACTTGATAAAAATATATTGGAACTAATAAAAATGTCAGATAGTGATACTGAATAATAGAGAAAGGTAGTTCTCCCTTAGATAATAATGAATGTGTTTGATACTCAATATTAAGTAGTTCGTTATGTGGGATAAGAAATACTCAAATGGAAATTAATAGCAGACCCAGAATCATGGGATTGGGATGTTTATTGGACAGATTCTGGGGTTTAAGCAGATTTGTTGAGTAAAATGAAATGTACAATTTTAATTTTTAATTATTTTAGAGCATTAGAAAGTGAATCATTTTCCTGGAATGTACATTTTAGCTCGAAAAAATAATCTTGGTAAATAATTAACAAAGATGCGTCGTCGATTTTAAAAGGAATTCAAATTCTTCCCTTTTACTTGGATGTTACCATCAGATGTTCAAGATTTAAAAGAATATATGAAAGGAAAAGGAAGAGATGACATTTTAATTGTGAAACCTGAAGCATCTTGTTAGGGAAGAGGTAAGAATTAATAAATTAAATTAAGGTATCTTTTTAACAAAATCTCTTGAATTCATTAGTCCAACAGAGAGATATGTAGTATAGAAATATTTGAGTGATCCTTTTTTAATTGACGGTTTGAAATTTGATTTCAGAATATATGTTCTTCTTGCAGGATGTGATCCTTTAAGAATATTTATATACACTGAAGGTTTAGCAAGGTTTGCAACTGAAAAATACATTCCACCTCATCCATCTAATTTTGATGATCTTTGTATGCATTTAACAAATTATGCTATTAACAAAAATAATGAAAACTTTGTGTTTAATGAAGATGTATAAAGAATGGATGTTGGACACAAAAGAAGTATGTCAAGTGTTTTTGAAAAATTAAAATAGGAAGGCAGAGATATTGATCAGTTATGGATGGACATTAAATAAATAATAATTAAAACTCTATGTTCTGCCTAACCATTTCTTAAACATCAATATACTACGAGCCAACCAAATAATCTTATGAATAATATGTGTTTTGAAATCTTGGGATTCGATATTATCTTAGATAGTTCATTCATGTAAATTAGCTATTTAAAATTTAGGCCAATTCTTTTAGAGGTTAATCATAGTCCATCTTTTACTACAGATTCTCCTCTAGATCAATATATCAAGGCTAATTTAATTGAAGACACTTTAGTACTCATGAATGTCAATAGGGAAGAAAAGTTTAGATTAATGTAAGTTTAAAAATTTTATTAAGATAGGAGAAACACCAAGAAATGTAAAAACGTATTTTGACAGGTAGAAATATTAGAATGACTCAAGAAGATAGAAAGACTATTATTGAATAATATTAATTAATTCGAGATGCTTATGAAGATGATCATCTAGGAGGATTTGAAAAAATTTATCCATGTGATGAAGAATATGAGACTGAATATTTCACTTAATTTCTATCATATGCAAGTGACATATTTGAGGAATCCACAGGTTATTTTACAAACTCAATTTAGGTACTAAAAAAGTTTAATTGCCAAGTCGAAAAATCACAGGTAGTCCACAAAAATCAATTAAACTTGATGCTGCTAAAATTTATGCATAACCTTTGAGAGTAGTTGTTCAATCATAATAATCTTAATCAAGAAAGACTAAATAACATACTTTATTATATAAATCTATGATCTAACAATAGATTTAATAAGAATAACGCAAAATTTAGGTCATGATGAAGTAAAGGGAGTTACTTCAATAGAAATAAAAATATATTAAATGAAATATTTAATTTGTTTCGCCTTTATTTTTTATTTTGTTGAACTGATAAATTCAAATCATTAGTACTCTAATCTATAAAAATAAAAATATTAGTTATTCATTTTTGATTGTGAGATCATTAATTTCACTATTGTATTTGAAATTAATATAATTTTTATATTTATATAATGAGTGAAGAATTTATAAGTGATGAGGATAGCTAATCATACAATTCTGAATAACCGGTATTTGACATTGATTAGATGTCAGTAAATTCAGAAAATTAATAAGCAATATAATATTTGCAAAGGGTCAGAGATGAAGCAAAATAAGCACCAAAATGTACTTACTTTGAGGAAGGATAAGATTTTTAAGTGAAACCTACAGATCCAAAATATTTAATACAACCTAAAGGAGTAAGACTAAATGGAAAATGGTCTATGAATCCTTTATGGCAATAAGATGTCATATAACAATATTATAATTTTAAATAAGTTTAAATTTACTTCTATCTTAGAATATTGATTAATTTAGAAAATTAGATTAAAAGTCGTATTAGTTATTAAATTTTAATTTGGAACAGGAAGAGAAAATTAAATCTAGTTTAAAGAAGAAATGTTAATTTAAGGAAGTATCAAAAGATTTAACTCCTACTCTTTTTACATTTCATGTATTAGATTATCAAATGGCATCTAAAATTGTAAAATGGCTAAGTTTAACACAGAAATGTAATTATAATTAATGTCTATGGATTTATTGTGCTCTAACATAATTAGAGGATCCATTGTGTAGTGACACATTGGCTAATATTAATAAAGTTCTTTAAAATTGTTACTTTGTCGAAAATGGTATGACTAGTGTCTTGATAACAATTATATAATTAATTTTCAAGTAAAATTATGCTGACTGAATTTTCATCCTTCTTTGATAATCTCGAAGTTGTTCATAAACTAAAACATATTTGGTCAAAGTTTTAGTAGAGTACTTATGAAGTAAATAAAATTATAAACTTCTTAGAATGATTCAATAATCTTTGAATCTGTGTGTCATAAAATAAGTAGATAAAAGAAAAAGCTTAAGCCTATCTCAATTTAATTAGGATAGGAATGGTTATATGTTTTTAAAGATTAAAATCCACATGGAATGCTATAATTAACAGTGGTGATAATGAGCATTTTGAAAAGTGATTTTGGAATGGCAATTAGATTATTAAGAAATGGATAGTATATTGATATAATAACACCTGATGGAAATCGATTGAAGTAATTATTGTAGCATAAGTGTTTATAAACAACATTTCATGATGAATTCAGTGTTTCTAAAATGATAGGAAAAGGAAGTTTTGCTAAGGTTTATCTTGCTGCTAAGAAATCTTCAGGAGTTTAATATGCAATTAAGGCATTCAATAAAGAGTTTATGCTAGAACAATTTAAAGGTAAAGAAAGTTTAGAGAATGAAATAAGAGTTATGAGGAGATTAAATTAAGATAATCTTGTTCATTTGCATGAAGTATATGAAACATAAAATTCAGTATATTTTGTTTTGGATCTTTTATAAGGAGGTGAATTATTAACAAGAGCTAAAACTAATCCATTTTCTAAAGAAGCCTTATAAAAATTAATGTATAATTTTATAAAAGCTCTTATTCATATTCATAGTAAGAAGTGCATTCATAGAAATTTAAAACCAGAAAACTTACTTCTAAAAAATAAAGAATCATCAACTGATGTTGTAATTGCTGATTTTGGATTAGCAACATTTTTAAATGAATAGATTTTATTTAAAAGATGTGGTACTCCAGGATTTGTTGCACCTGAAATTTTAATATATAAAGAAGAAGATCCTTTTTATGATGATAAATGCGATATTTTTAGTGCTGGAGTCATATTTTATATTCTTCTTACAGGAAGGTAACCATTTTAAGGTTAAGATTACAAGGCTATATTAAGATCTAATAAAAATTGTGAAATTAATTTCAATCTAAAAGAAATATTATCAGTATTTTCTATATATGTAATTTTAGTCATCAGCAAAACTGTAAGATTTATTACGAAAAATGCTATAATAAAATCCTAAAGATAGACCAAGTGCTGAAACCTGTTTATAGCATCCTTATTTTAAAGAGATTTTTAATATGAAAGATTTAATTGAAATTCAAGAAAATCTAATTTAATATGAATTAGAAAATTAATATAGAATATAAAAGAAAGGAAGTTTCGATAGTCAAACTGGTTCAATGGAATTAATAACAAGATCTCCTGCTTTTAATGGTCGTATTGAAACTATTGGATCATTTTCTAATGGATCAGTACCAGGATCATCAAATCGTTTAGAAAAACCATAACAATAATAATAGTTTTCTAAATTTAGTCAATTTTGTTAAAATATAAAGAATGTACAACAAGATTCCAATAGTAGTTCTCAAGCCTCTCCTTTAAATAAAAAAAATGATTCTTAGGATCTTCATAAATTTGCATTGAAAAACTCTTACTAAAAAAAAAAACAATTGAGTGTAGATGATGATTATGTAAATGAAGAATCTGTTCACTTAGAAGATGCCATATAAAAATTAAATTCTTAAACACCAAAAATTGGTCTTTTTAAAAAGAGTGCTTCCTATAAAGTACCAAAAACAACATAGGAATGATATATATCAATTTACAAATTGCCAATTCCCTGTAGAATCCAATAAATCTATTTCAATCCCATTTCCAAATCCTATATATCCAAGATCAGTGAAAGATCTATCAATTTCTTTTCTATCAACAACTCTTGGTTGAATATGATATCTACGTTTGTTACATAATGGTAGAATTGCATTTGGAGATTCACTTCTATCAGCATATTCTTCTTCACTTTCAACTTCCTAAATTAATTTAAATTTTAATTTACTTTCTTAAATTCTACTAATCCTCTTTATGCTTTATATTCCTTATATTGATCTTCATTCATTTTAATACCCTCACTCTCACTTATCAACCAAGGATGTTTTAAAGATTAAGATGCACTAACTCTTTTTTCTGGAAATGGATTAAGCATTGGTTCTAAAAATGAAGCTATATATTTATTATTTTATTTTAATTACCTAATTCTTTAGCTTCTTTTGGATTATATTTATATTTTTCTATTAACACATCTGTTAATGACCAACAATTAAGAATTGGAATTCTTAAAAGATTTCCTTCTCTATTAAAATATCTTTTAGATTTTAGTCCTCTTTAAGAAAATTATAAAGGGAATTTTCCAGTTAATTCTTGAATTTATGCTAAATGATCATCATTTTTAGAAAAATTTGCACCTTTTCTTGGTTCAAATAAAAAGTCACCAGTCAATAATTCAAATAACATACAAGCAAAACTCCACAAATCAGCTGTTGCATTATATCTTGTACCAATTAATACTTCAGGAGATCTATACTATCTAGTCTATATTAAAGTTGAAAATTAATGATGTGTCCAACAAGCATTTCCTAAATCTGCTACTTTAACTGAAAAATCATTTTTTTAAATTTATTTAAACAATGATTTTTTGTCAATTTAAAATAAATCATTATCCTTACTATTTTCTTGTTAATTTAAATTTTATTTATTATCATTATTATTATTTTCTTTCTCTGAATTTTGTAAGTTATCTTCTATCTTTTCTTATTCCTATTGTTTTTATAATTTTTATTGTTTTTTCTTTTATCTTCTTTATAAATTTCTTAATTAATTTTTAGTTAATTAAATTTATTCTTATTATTCTGTACTATTAATATTAACTATAGTTTTTGTAGACACAGTAATATTAGATTTTAAATTTTCCTCTATATGTATTGGCTCTTCTTTTTTGATATCAAAAAGTTAATGATAAAATTCTAATCTGTCTTTGAAAATCTAATTACTAGTTAATTATCCATTTTCAATTATATCTTTAATTTCTTCTTGAGACAATTGAAGTAAAACATTTTCAGGTTTTAAATCTGTATGAATGACTCCACATTATTCGTGTAAGAATTCTAAACCAATTAATACTTCTTTTGCAATTTTTCTACATAATTTCATTGGAACTCCTTTAAATTCAAATCTCTTGATAATTTCAAGAAGATTCACTCCTAATATTTCGAAGACCATACAAAAATGGCATCCATAAGGTCCTCTATATACAAAGGAATTAAGTAATTGTACTACATGACTATCATCACGATTTATTCTTTAATTAGGTTTATATTATTTTAATTTTTCAACCCATTTTTAATTAGTAACATTTTAAGCTACTTTTTATAATATTTCCACTTCATCATAAGCTGCCTCTAAATAATTTTCGGCTGATTTCTACACTTTAATTGCAACATATGTATCATATTTAAAGTCCTTACATAACCAGACAGTAGAGAAATGACCCCATCCTAATTTTTAAATTATCACATATCTATTTTAAAGTACTTCTCCAACATGTACAGGATGATACCCTCCAATTTTATAATCCTCTATTCCTTCATCTTCTGAATCATGCTCTTCATCTAATTGATAAAATAATTCCATCTTTTTTGGCTTATACATTGATGGAGTCATGTATTGAGATGTAGCCATTTGATAAACTGGTTAAAGTACTTAAGACTCTATCAAATTTGACTCTTGTAACACTTAATAATAAGACTTAGACATCACTGTAGATTAAAAGAGATCACTACAATACATGTTTTCGTTGCTCATATTTGAATTTAAATATGTTAATTATTTATTATTACTGTTATTTTTACATTCAAATTTTAAATTTATACATAAATAAAGATTATTTAGAAAACTTTAACTTATATTACCATATGAATTTACTAATCATAATAACTATATTTATAAATTCAACAACTATCAATTCATATTAATTTTTATTGTACGCATTTCAAATTTAATTCAACAAATAATAAAAGAATCTATAATCATATTATTATTATCTATACTTAATTTAACATTAATTGTAATTCAATAATTTAATTTTAATAACTAAACTAATATTATCTGCTAAAAATTAATGAAACAATTTATTTATCATCTACTTTATAAATTATTAAAAAAGTTTAAAATAATCTAATTAATAAAAACATTTAGATACAATGCTTACAATAGATATAAATTAATGGGTACTAAAGTTATTATGGAAAAGTAGCAGAGAATAAAAGAATGGTTTTAAGAGAGTCTTTGTTTATTAATTAAATTATATTTCTCTAGAGTCTGGTTTTAAGTAAGTTGAGATAATAAGTATGCAGATGGATATTAAGCTACCTTTTTATTTTTATAGATTATAATACGTATATATGTTCTATTGATTTAAAGGAATTATATTATAAATGGGTTAAATGATAAACGACTTCAAATAGACAAAAGAAGCATTAACTGATTAATTAAATGGCTATCCTAATAATTTATTTTATTTTTAAGTTCATCAGTACAACCTGAATAGATAATCATATTTAATGGATCTATAAAAAATTTTAATAATTGAACTTTAACTATTTTATTTGTAGATTTATCTTTTAATATTGAAAAATATACAAAATTTTATCGAAACAAGATCAGACATAGACGCAGATAAACTAGTATATGATTCAACAGATGGATAGGAGCCAAGTTTGATGTATGTTAAATTATTGGAGGTTCAATTTTGGCGATTTATCTTGCAATTTAAATATTAGAAAACTTTCAGATAGAAGTGAATTATAAGCATTTCTATTTTTTCCAACAAAACTTTGGATCTGCATTCTTGGTAAAGTTGTTTCATATTTTATACCCACAAGTTGATCAATTATTTTCAAGTATATTTTGATGATAATTTTGCTAAAAATAGTTGAATGTTTATGTATGCAATTAGCATCGGAATTTTCAATCTTTATTCTGCTTTTTAACTTAGGAAGTTATCGTAGTATTAATATTGCATAATTCCTCTATAAATTTTATCAAAAGTTTACTAGTAAAAACAATTAAGTCCATCTAATATTTTTGTATATTCTCACAAATGTTTATATCTTATTTTCTAATATTCAATAATAGGAAATAATGACAAGAATAATCATTCAATTATATATGATTGAACTATGTATAGATATATTTATATACTCTTATTTAAAGATAATAAACTAAATATTTATAATCTTCAGTCTTTGAAATTAAAAAAAAGAAAGAAAATTTAATTATTATGATTAAAGTCAAACATTATCTCTCAGTTTTCTAAATTCAATAGTAATATTTAAAAAAAAACAAGAATGAATGTGAGAATAATCAGAACATGTATATAATATGAATCATATATTTTCCTTTATAGTTTTTTTTAGATTAATTTTTAGTTTAATTTTTTTTTTATTTAAAAATATCAAAATTCTTAATTGTGGTTATGTTTTTAAATCGACTGAACAT